CTTTATCCAGAATAACAGGTAGCCTGGGACTTGAAACTATCATCTGATGTGGGGGCAGTCTTATGGGACTTTGGGCCCCTTTAACTTGTGTGATCTGATGCAAACTCAGGTAGATGGTGTCAGAATTTAATTGAATTTTTGGATACCTGGTTGGTGTCTAGAGAACTGAAGAAACTGTACAGAGAACATCATACATTTGGTGTCAGAAATATTGGAAGGAATAGAACCTCTTGTTGTCCCAGTGAAAAATGTCTAGGGTAACTCCAGTTCACACCAACTACTGCTTCCCCCGCTTCGTATTATTTACTATTTGTGTTGTAAAATTTTGTTGATCAAGTGAATGGAAGTTCTCTCAGCATTTGGCATGCAGGTTGTAAATGTGAGATTATAATGCAGTTGTTTCATTTTGCTAGTTGTTTCCTGTTGATGTTATCTATCACTCTTCTCACCCCACACCCATCTTGAGGTTTAAGAACACTGTGTTCTATTTCTTTTAAATTCTGTGTGTAGCACACTCTACCCAGAAACCTGAAAATGACTGAGGACTGATGAGTGGATGGGTTCATTGATAGTAGTCTATGAGAATTTGACCACTGCCACTTTTCATTTTCTTTTCCTTTCTTTTCTATTTGAGTTGAACATTATGATATGGTGGGGAGAGGAAAGTAGGGGCAGGTCCCTGAGTCTTTTTGGAGAAATTATATATATAAGACAGGTGCCAGACAATTACAGATAGGTAAATATTAAGAAAGGCAAAACCGATCAATTCTAGAATTTCAAACCAGCAAATGTCTAGATGCTTTTCCCAAAATTTTCTATGAGATTATTAAACTGTGCACAAGCTCTTAGAAAACAAATGAGTAATCACAATGGCCGGAGTGGATTCAAGTAAAACAACCTGGAGAGAACATGCAGCCATATAGAAGTGGCATATACGCTGTGTCTTGGGGGAAGGCAGTAGTCTTAGTTCACTTTGTGCTGCTGACAGAATACTCGAGACTGGTTTATTTATAAAGAACAGAACAACAGAGCAAAGTTATTTGTTATTTCTTCCTTATTTTGTTTTGGAGGGAGGGTACTGGGGGTTGAACTCAGGGTTACTTTACCTCTGAGCTACATCCCCAGCTTTTCCTTTTTTGGGGGGGATAGAGTCTCGCTAAGTTGCTGAGGTTGGCCTGGAACTTGCAGTCCTCCTGCCTCAGCCACCCCAGTTGCTGGGATTGCAGATGTATGGTACTGTGCCTAGCAGAAAACAAAGTTATTTCCTATAGTCCTGGAGCTGGGAAGGTCCAAGGCAAGGGGCTATCATCTGGCAAGGGCTTTCTTGCTGCATTATCCCATGGCAAAGGGTGGAAGGGTAACAGTGCATATGTGTTTCAGAGAGGGAGAGAAGGAAAGGAAGAGAGAGAGAGAGAGAGAGAGAGAGAGAGAGAGACAGAGAGAGAGAACGAACCCAAGACAAGGCTGAGCTTCTTTATAACAAGTAAGCTCACTCCATGATAATGACATTAATCTATTCATGAGGGCTCTGCTGCCACTTAAAAGTCTCACCTCACACACTGTTGCATTGGGCATTAAGTTTCCAATGTATAAACCTTGGGGGGCCACATTCAAATCATAGCAGCAGTTGTATCTGACCATTCACCTTCCAGGATTAGAAATGTGCTCTTGGTCATGCTGACTAAAACCCAATAGCCTGAGGTAAAGTGCCAGAATGCAGTTGATAAATTGACTCCAAAAAGAGACTCAGAAAGGAAATAATTAGCAGATTTTTCTCCCTATAGTTATTTGGGAAGTTAAAATGTAATCAGCATTTGCGTGTGTGTGTGTGTGTGTGTGTGTGTTTTCATGCATGCATTGAACTCACGAGGCTTAATCACTGAGCCCAATCCCCAGCCCATTTTTAAATTGCTTAGGGCTTCACCAAGTTGCTGAGACTGGCTTTGAACTTTCGATCCTCCTGCCTCAGCCTCCCACACCATTGGGATTACAGGTGTGTACCACCACGCCTGGCTAGCATGCACATTTTTTATTTACCATGTGAATCACAGTTCCAGGAACTGACTTGCTGCCTTCAATATATCAGTGTTTTCATATCGTATAGCTAGAGCTATCTGCGAGACAGAATGATACTTCATGCAGGATCCTAGAACAAGACAAGCTGAGGAAGTAATAAACTAATAACACTAAGTGAAAAGTGTTTATTCTATTTGTCTCAACGGAAATATACAAATCCCATTGGAGAGCTCTCATGAATAGTGCTGGGATGAGTATCACCAGTTTTGCTTCTGTGACTCTTCTTCCTCTTCCCAATTTGACTGACACATTTTCTTTTTTTTAATATTTATTTTTTAGTTGTAGTTGGACACAATATGACTTATTTATTTTTATGTGGTGCTGAGGATTGAACCCAGGGTCCCACACATGTGAGGTGAGCACTCTACCGCTGAGCCACAACCTCAGCCCCACCCCCAACACATTCTTTTGAACCAGCCACTCTGGAGCCTCGCTGTGTGAAAACTGAAATGTGCACACTTGAACTCCATCACAATGAGTTGCTTTTGCAGCTCATCATTGTCATTTAACTTATCCCCAGCTGCTGGTAGGCACCTAAACATGGTCCTTAATTATTTACCATATAAAGCTCCCCACATTCCTTTTATTTCCTACTTTGTAAATGAGTTTTTTAGCCTGAGGATTATAATAATCTTTATGAACTTTTATCTTATCAAGTCTTTTGACAGAATATCTTGGTGTGATTGTGAACAAGAAGGATGAACATGGGTCAGTGGGTCAAACCCTTTTTCAAAGGGACCTCCACTTAAATAGTGTCTGAGGGTTTTTTGTACCAAACATAGATGACCACTCCTGGAAGATTGGACCCAAGTTCTGGGGTGGAGATGATCCTGTCTGGCATCCCTTCATCTCCACTCCTCAGTGGACAGTCAACCCCACACCTAAATAGGACATGTGCCTGCCTTTTCCTTAGCCTGTCATAGTGGAGCTGATGGTGCAGGACTGAAACAACCAAGAAGGAATGGGGTGCTGTGGTACACACCTATAATCCCAGCAACTCCTGAGGATGAAGCAGGAGGAGCTCAAGTTTGAGGCCAGTCTCAATAACTGTCTCAAAGAGAAAAAAGGGACTGGGGATGTAGCTCAGTGGTAAAGTTGCCCTGGGTTCAATTCCAGTACCAATGAAATGAAGAAGAAAGAACCCAAAAGAAGGAAGCTTGCTATCATTGCTAGAGGCCACAGTGAAAGCCAGAAGGTCCAGCTTCCCATGAGTTGGACCACACCTGAACCTTCCTCTCATGAAGTAGCTATGCCTGCCAACTTGAGAAGAGAATGCATGATACCAAAGCTGTGCTTTCACTGCTCTGCTGCCTGTGTTCTCCAGGAAGCTCACTCAGTCCAGTTGAGAGAATGTGCCCTGCTGTATTCATGCCCTGGAGACTAGAGGCAAAGCCCCAGGCTGAGACAAAGTTCTTACAGAGAACTTTATATCAAAGACCACTTCCCAGAGCCACCCACACACAGGCATCATGTGGCATTATGCCAGTAGAGAGAGTCAGGCACAGCATGGACCTGAGCTGTGCCCAGAGAGGATGTTCAGTACACAGAGCCCTTCACGATAAGCTCCGAGTCCTGTCTGCCTTCTCTGCTGATTATAGCAGCACTTAAGATGTTGGAATGCTAGAAATGGCCTCTGTACCTCTTGGCATGGGAACCATTAGCTCTGTACATCAGTCTCACCCAATCCTAGTTCACTTGGGGATTTATGGACACTGTTTTTCACTGTGTAGGTTTTCCTTTCTACTCTAGCATCTTTACTATGGATGCAACCCTGATGTGAAAGGTTGAGAAGTTCCCGTTTCACTGACTATGAACTTACTGTCCTCCCAGGAACTGAACCCTCATGGTAGAGGACCTCTCTGAGGGTGTCCAGGCCACCTAGCACTGGGAGTGCACTTGAGCACTAGAAGATCTCTTTTCCTGTGGCTGCAGGTGTGACTTTAATATTGTCTTTCTTCTTATACTTTGTCCTACTAGGCTCAGCAAAGTAGGAACCAGATCTCCCTCCTTTCCTAATGGGTACGTTCCCTTAGAGGAAAGATGCCACACCAGTTTGTCATCTGGTGAGGGTTTTGATGGCTTCCTTTATAAGTCTGTCCTCAGCACTAACTGGATTACATTTCCATTGAGCTCTGAATGGAAGCTGGGAGAGTTTTCTGAGAAAAAGAACACTGCACCGCAGCTGAGAGAACTTGCCACTCATTCCACGGCTTCTTATCTTATTCCATGGTTGGTTAGAAAGCAAGAGTCAGACCCCCAAACTGGTGCAGTTTTCAATGAGTGGCTTTTAAAAACTGATTTGAGGGTCTTGGCATGGGCACTACTGTTGACTATCTGCTTGTTTCAAAGGTTGGCATCTGATGTCTTTGGAGTGGTTTTTGCTCCTTCTATCCAAATGCCAACCTTCTGTCCCTGAGATCCTCGTGGGCAGTTCTCCTATGATTAGAGTTCTCCCATGATTACAATCCAAAGAGGTTCTGTGCTTCTTATAGACATCCTTAGTCCTTAATGATTGCCATGTTAGTTTCATATGGCCCCTAATTTCAATAGCAAAAGGTTACCTCACACTAGGCAGGATTCTTGTGCCTCTGACAAAGTGTGCAACTACGGTACAGCATTCTGGAGATGTTTCATGTCAGTCTTTTCTTTTTTCTTTATTTGGGCAATGCTGGAGTATGACAATCTTAATCTTGCTGGTCCTGCCACAGAACTGCTGGTCTAGGGAGTACTTAGAACTTCAGCCTCTCTGGAGGCCTCCTAGGGCCATGCCCATTCTGTGGGTAGTATTGTCGGTAGGTACACAAACTGTGCCACCAGTCTGGTCCTGCACTGTCACTCCATGGCTCAGAGCCCACACTCTTCTGGTACTGGGACTTGTACTAATTTTATAGAATAAAAGTCCTGCTGGATAGAACATTTGGCTTTTCTCATTTTCTTGGAGATATATTCCAAAGTATATTATGTACATTAAAGTGTTGGAGTTCCTAAATAAAATGGATAAATTCATAGAAAAATATAAAATACTAAATACTCTTAAGAAGAAATAAGGAACTTAAATCAATTAGAAATTAGAAAAATGGAAGCTAAAATCTCTTCCCCTACTTGCCAAAGAAAAAAAACCCAGGCCCAGTGGTTTTGCAGGTAAGTTTTACCAAACTTTCAAAGAACAGATGATTCCTATATTTTGTAAAAAGTTCTCCTAGAAAATGAAAAAAAGAACAAGAGCTACTCGGCTCATTGTATTGAAGTTAATGTAATCCTGACTCCATAACTAAATAAGTATAAATAAAATTATAATCTCATTTCCTTTATGAAATAGTTGCAAAAAATCCTAAACAACATATTAACTAATGAATTATCAGTGTATTTTTAAAGTGAATTACAATTGGGTGGGACTTGTAACAGGAATTCAAGCAACAATTATCATGAAAAAAATCTAATAATATAACATATGAATAGGGGAAATAATTATTGTCTCAATACAGAAAAATCCTTTGATAAATTTAGACGCCTATTTGTAATTTAAAAAAATATATTGACAAACAAGGAGTATACTTCCTTAAGCTGGTTATATACCAAAAACCTACAGTAAAGATTCTGCTTAATGGAGAAATTGTTGATACATTCCACTTAAGATTGGGTGGAGAAAAAACCACTGCCTAGGGGCCTAGGGTTGTGGCTCAGTGGTAGAGCACTTGCCTAGCACGCATGAGGCACTGGGTTCTGGGTTTGATCCTCAGCACCACATAAAAAAATTAAATAAATAAATAAAGATATTGTGTCCACCTACAACTAAAAAATAAATATTAAAAAAAAACACTGCCTACCATCACTATCTCTGGTTAACAGTACTGGAAGCACTGGTCAATGCTCTAAAGAAAGAAAAAGAAACTAGAAGCATAAATTCTAGAAAGGGGAAGATAAATGGTCATTATTTTATCTACTTGGAAAAACCAACGGAGTCAACAGAACATTAAGACGAAAAAGAAAGTTCAGCAAAGTTGCTAGATTCAAGATAAATGTTAAAAAATTTAATAGCATTTCTCCATAGCAGCCATAATCAACTAAAAATATAAAGAATAAGATAGCATTTATACTAGCAACAAAAGCTGTGGGCAATTTTTTGGTTTACTTAAGAATACACAGATGTTCATGGAGTAAATTATGAAACTAAGAGGATGGAAATAAAGGAAGAGAACAAGGAGGAAGCTACAGGGCCCTTCATAACCTCGTTTTGGCTGTTCCACTGGTGCTGTGCTGGTTCTGTTTGTTGGCAGCAATTCCTGTGTCTGGCCCTAGCTTAGGCGGGAGGGATTAGACTCTGCAGGTAGAAGAGGAGACTTTGCACACATATTTTCAAACACCACTCCTCCTAACAAAAGAATGTACATCAAACACTGGAAAGGCTGCATATGACAGGGAGAATAATGAGAATGCAATAGAAGGGAATGGAAGAAAGGGCGAGAGGGAGGAAGGCTGACTTTTGTATACCAAAGACAACAGTGTGCCATGAATTGATGTAGATGTTTAATTTTCTGCCCTGGAATGAAAAAAAAAAATGGCATTCATCTTTTCAGTCTCCTTACTAAACATTTACATAGCACATAACCTTAACACACATCTTTTGGTTTTTGGTGTTTTATTTTATTATAAGTTATTTATATGCAGTGCTGAGAATCGAACCCAGTGCCTTGCACATGCCTATAACCCCAGTCCCCAGGCTGGGATCTTATTATACATATTGATCTACTATTAGGTTTTCTCATTTAACATTGTATCCTGAGAGTTTTTTCATGTCACTGTAAATACAGAGGTTTGTCTGATTTGTTTTACACATTATTCCATAGTGTGGATACACCAGGAATATAATTGATCAATTTCCTACTGATGGACATTCAGGTTAGTTTTACTTATCTTTCTTTTTTCCTTTCTCTCTGTTGGCTGGATGGGTCTTTCACTATATGAGCATCCAAATTTGTACTTTACTTATATTGTCTCCCCTGGACTTCAAGACTAAGGGACCAGGAACATGCAAGATGGAGTCTGCTGTAGGCAGAGTTTGTTACTTGAGGACAGGCAGGGCCACTGTGGCAGATTTTCTATGCTTCAGCTTCCTTCCTCCTACTTAGCCATATAAGGGATGCAACTCTACCAGGGTCCTAGTCTTTGTCTTCCAAGGCCTTCTTGTTTAGCAAAAGGCAGACGTGTGAGTGACCCATGGGAGGCAGAACAGCATACAGAGAGGGGAAGCCTCCTGTCTCACTAACTGTGCCCGTTTTTCATCCTAGCCCACCACTCACTGGATTTGACACTGGGCAAGTTATTTCACCTCCCCCAAATCTTAGTTTCCCTACATCTAAAATGACTATTTTTTTCCTCATAGGGCTACTCTGATAAACAACAGGATTCATATAATGTTCCTGGCACATAGTGATCTGTGAACATTGAGTTTTCAGGAAACTAGCCAATCAGGTGGGGACACAGGTTCTCTGAGGTTTTAAGTCTTCATAAATGAAGAGCAGAGCCCTGAAGAATGGGCAGCATTCCCCTGGCAGAGCTGGAGGAAAGCATTTTAGTGCACAGAAAGGTAGAAGTGAAAGTCCTGAGTTGGGGGCGTGTTTGGGGGTGCGGAGTAGTGTCCTGTGGCTGGCTGGAGGGTCACATTCATTAACCAGAGGAGGAAAGGCCTTTCTAGGATGTATGCAGGTGGTCTTCTGGCACAGAGGACACAAATCCAGGACACCTCCAGGGACTTGTGCCTCAAAGCTGAAGCTGCAGATCCACCACAAGACCACCGTTGGGGTCAGCCATGACCCCAACCTCATCTCTTCCCTCATCCTCCTGCCTTCTTCAGTATGGGCCTCCTCCCAGGCTTGGCCACTCCCAGCATTCAGCACCCCCACCCCTCAGCAGGGTTGGGAGGCAGGCGGAGGATTTTCGCGGGGGCTGTGCTGGGTGGGCAGTTTTCCCAGAGCAAGGAACGAAGCTGGACTGAGTTGGCGCCAGCTTCCTCAGATGTAGACATCGCTGGCTGAATGGCCAGCCTGCCCCAGCGAGCTTGAACCCAAGGACTCCCTCAGGCACTGTGCTCCTGATCTGAGGGCTGCAGCCCTATACCTCAGGGGAGTGGCATGCCACAGAGGGAGGCCAGAGGGGCACCAGCAATGCCAGGATTGGGGCATGGCCGGGCTAAGGCCAAAGCACAGTTGCTGCCAGGCACTAACAAGAAGAAGAGCCGCCTTAGCAGGACAAGGCAGGACCTGTGGGAAGAGCCCAGCTGGAGTGACCAAAGATGGTGCAGATCTTCCCCTACCCCTCGAGGGGCCAGAGCTAGAAGCCCGGCTCGTGGCAGGGTAAGGAAATCCTGGTCCAATAGAGGGAGCCCGGGGGAGGCAGGGGTTGGAAGGCAATGAGCCTCACTCCGTGTTATTGTTCCTGCCCAAGAGTAAGGACATCAGCCCCTGAGACTCCTCAGAGCCCTGTGGGGTTGATTGGAATGAATCAGAGCTGGTCTTAACCAGAGCATAACTCAGAGAGTTCCCTTCACTTCTCTGAAGGAAACTGAGGCCCGGAGGAGGGATGTGAATTACCCAATGTCCCCAAACAGTAGTCAGCAGCAGAGATAGGACCTAGTTAGTTTGTTGTGATCCCTGGTTTGTCGCCCTTACCCCTTTACCACAGCAGCCTCTTCATCTCAAGACCTGGCTGGGTCAAGGGTCAGCCCTACTGAAAAGGGTGTGGCTCTGTGTTTCCCCTGGGCCCAAGGGCACCCCAATAAGCAGGATTCAAATTTGGGAATAATGGAGAGAACCCTGGACGCTTGGGTTCTGAGTCAAGCTTTGCCACCTGCTGCCATCTGACCCTAGCCCAGGCCTTCCCACAGCTATAAAACAGGGCGGGGCAGAGAACCACAAAGGTGGGCTGAGGTCTATCAGTTTTTGCTGTTCAGCACCCACTACTGCAGTAGGACACCTGACTTCTAGAATGCTTTTGAAGCCAGGGTCGATGGGGGTTCGGACCAGACCTACTCACTGGGGCCCTCTGTGCAGAGTGAGGCCAGTCCTGAGAATGCAGCACGGGAGCGGAGCCGAGTAAGGACGCTGCGCCAGGCCTTCCTGGCCCTGCAGGCTGCTCTGCCTGCTGTGCCTCCTGACACCAAGCTCTCCAAGTTGGATGTGCTGGTGCTGGCCACCAGCTACATTGCTCATCTCACCCGCACTCTTGGCCATGAGCTGCCCAGTCCTGCCTGGCCACCCTTCCTGCGTGGACTCCGCCACTTGCACCCTCTCAAGGTATGTCATAGGCCCAGGGACATGGCTGGGGAGATCTCTGCCCAGGACCCTGAGGCAGGGTGGAGTAAAGGCGGGGGCACTGGATTGGGGCCCCTGCTGTGGGCAGAGCTGACATCAGGGTCAGTTTTTCCTGCTGTTGCAGAGGGAAAAGACTCAAGACTGGCTCTTGGGGTGGGACCAACCCTGTATTTCTCATGGGGTGGTGACTGGGAATGTGGTTCCTCCAAGAAGAAGGAAAGACTCTGGGGGTTCTTAGTGTCAAAGGGAAAAAGGAGCATGTCCTAGGGCCGGGGCTTGGGGAAGCAAATGGCATCCAGGAAAGTCCTTGATCATCATGCGGCTTTACACCTTGCTTTACACACTGACCTCAGTGTCCTCTGAACTCCTGTTGCAGGAGAGAGCCACTCTTTGGGACAATCAAGTGGGGGGCAATAGTGCAGCATGCACTGTTTGCCATACTGTCACCTAGCTTTCCTGAACCTCGGCTTTATTCTATGTGAAATAGAAGCTAACAGGAGCTTGCCTTCTCCTCTTGAATACAAAATAAGTTTATGAATGATAAGTGCAATTAATGATAATCGCCATTGCCATGACAGACAACATGGCTGAAGTGCTAAAGCTATGCCAGGAGCTAGGCTAAGTGCTCTAGCATGCTCTTATCTCTTGACCTGTGCAAGAACAAAATGAAGACTACAGATGAGGAAGCAGAGGGAGGACAAGAGACTGGGTGTGGTTTGAGTCCAAGAGTGTCTAATTCCAGACACCTTGCTCACAGTCCCTGAGCAGGCCCCAGGATGGCACCGTAAGGAGCCGGTTGAGAAGCATACTTTGCCCTCTGAGGAAAACATCGTAAGGGGTCAACTTTATTTTTATGGAGGATACTTTCCACCCTCTCTCCCCTAAATATCGTGGTCTTGAAATATCTTGAAACTTGAGGTCTTTCTTTCTTGCAAATCTAGCTAACATGCAAGATTCAGAAACAAAATGGTACAACTCCAAAATGCTAAAGGTGGTACCTGGTGCAGAGTTCTGAGATGAAAACAGGATCCTTCACTGTAAAATGGTGACCAAGTTAAGACTTTTGCATGTAGTAGATAAATATATTAAAGAATGAAGACCTGGTTAGGTCTAGAACTCTGGCAGATTGGTGAGGAAGGGAGGTGAGCCAGGGAGAAGCACCCTGTGTCCCTAGTGGGAAGGGCTGTTAGAGAGGAGGGGCTGAGTCAACATGGAGTTTTTTTAGGACTGCTTGCTCCTGCTGGAAGAAGTGAAAATGCCTGGAGGACCCCAGTTGAGAGGGAGTTCTTCCTGCCCACCAGAGGGGGCCCTTGATCTCCTCAGCCAGCTCCTCCTGTGTCTCTTGGCCAGACTCAGGGTATCTGGAAAATGTGTGGGATCCCTGGCATCAGAGCTGTGATGCCTGGGGGAAGGCATGAGGCAGGGGTGCTAGGGAAGGAGAAGCTTCAGGTGTTAAGGATTCTGGACAATGAAGGGCAGCAGAGTCACTCACCACCCATCCTGTGTCTTACAGAAGTGGCCCATGCGATCTCGTCTCTATGCTGGAGGTCTGGGATGCTCTGGCCTCGACTTCACCACAGCCATTGCCTCCTGCCAAAGAATGAGGGATGAAGAGATGGGGTCTCAAGTCTCTGGAGAGGCAGATGTTCTCCTTCTTACCAGGCCACCCTCACCAGCTCTTGGTGACAAATGACTACTGTCACACTCATCCTGTTCTCCTAGACCATGCTTAGGAACCTGAGTTTTCTACCAGCACCTACCCATCTTCTCTCTAACTCTCAGCCATTGGATTTGACTCTGGCTCATCTTCCAAGGTCTAGTCTGCAGACCAAGTGAAGCAGCGGTGGAGAGTTCCCAGGAAGCACAGAATAGAGAGCCTCACCCTTGGCTCTTCTGTGGCAGCTACAAGGAAGTGGGTGAAGAATGGGTTTGACTTGGTTCAAAGTCAAGTGAGGCACCATCCCTCCTTTCTCTCCCCTAAGGCTCCTACAAATCCTCTGCACACAGGTAGAAGACAAAAATCATGGCGCAGGTGCAGAAGGAGGGGCCAGGATGGCAGCTGCCACAGGTGCTGATGGGAAAGCCAGGGGGCTTCATAGGTTCTTGGTAGCTTTAAGTGTGAAAAGACCTGGGCCCGTGTCACATAGCCAGAGGGAAAACAGAAGAAAGAAATATGCTTTTTTATATGGCACTGTGAGATGATTACCCAACGTCAAAGAGGCAGTGAGGAATTTAGGATTCTTGTCTCAGGATGCTGCGTCTCTCCAGCTGCCCCTCATCACTACATTTTCTCCCTCTCTGGGTTTTGCATCCTTCCACTGTTTCTGTTTTGACATGAGTTATATCTACAGGTTAAGACATAAAGCTTACATTGCTTACGTTCCAGTTTCTGGAGAAAGTTTTAGATAGTCCCAGCTGTTTAGTTTGAGAAGATCTTATCCCAGAGGCAACTCTGTCTTAATGGAACCAGGCAACCATTCAAGGCCCTGCCTATGCAGGATGCTGATATGCCCATTTAAATCCTCAAAGGACCTTAAAAAAAAGAATGTGCATCAACCCCCTTTCCAGGGGTCGATCCTTACAGTCTCCTCTTTCCATTATGTCAGAAACCTTACCTCAAAGGAAAACAAGACAGGTCCAGGGTCAGCGGGTTCCCAGTGCTGTTATTGTCTGAGGTTTCATTGACTCTGGAGTTATTTCTACAATCAGTCTGTAAATTAGCTCCCTAGGCCAGATTCTCCCACAGCCATCATCCCACCAGGCTGTCCCTAAGTCCTGTCTTGAGACGCCAGAAATGTGATAGCTCTGTAATGGAATTCATCACTGGTCCTGAAGAAATATTTTGAAGACTAATCACAGAGTCTACACACAGAGATGAACTTTCTAGGTCAGATGAAGCTTCAAAGCCAGCACCTGAAGTGCAGGCAGGGAAGGAACCAACTTTTTGATAAATTTCAGCATGTAGGCAGACTTAAGTCCCAACAGGGTATGGTTAGTCGCAAGCCATCACTGTCCTCATGAGTGTAAAGGTCTGGGGCAGCTGGGAAGAACTGGGGTCGGTCCTCCACAGAGCTGGCTGGGAGCAGGGAATAGCGGGCAGGAGTGACTCAGCAAGCTGAGGTGGAGGTAGGAAAGGAGACACAGTACGTCCCAGCCTGAGCCACATGGGATGTGGGAGCAGCTGGACTGTGGAGGGGAGCCATGGGAGGAGGCCTCAGCCAAGGCCGAACACATAAATCTGCCTGGAACCCTGTCTCTGCTGAGAATCCTGCAGAGCTTGTGCAGAGCTGCTTCTGGGCAGCTAGACGGGGCCAGGCAGGGGCAGAGACCAGGTGTGGGAGGGCGAGAGCAGTGTTCTTCACAAGACCATAAAAGTCCAGCTTGAGTGTTCTATTTTTAAAGCTGAATAGCAGCATCTTCCTGGTTGAGTTGGAGGGGGTAAGAAAGGTCTCCGATGAATTTCGTCCTGAAGAGTGGCACACAGTCTCTTTCTGGGCATGAAGGAACTGACTTTGGAGTTTTATTCTGGGGTTCCCTGAGACCCTGGAACTTCTAATAACTGAGTAGACTTTGATCTGGAGTTTTCCCTGCCCCACCTGGCTCGGACTCAAGCCTTTGCCTCATATCATCAGACTCTGGGTGACCATGTCACCCTGGTATAGAAGACAAAGAGGGCAAAGGGATGAACCTGGTGAGTCTGAAGAAGGGCAGATTCCATCAGGACAGTTTCTAAGGCTGTCTCAAGCCCTTTCTAGGCAAAGTTGTTTTCCTTAGTGCCCAGGACAATCCTTTGTGGTCTGGGGGTCATCTTCCTCAGCTGGACAACCAACATAGTCAGGCCAGGGAGCCAAAGGAATGCTCAGAGGATGACTGGCCTTGCCCTCCTTGATGAGATGATGCTGGCCTTGAGGCATGTCAGGTTGCAGACCAGAATCCATGAACCACCCAGAACCAGGTGTAGCCCCTTTGCCTCTGCAGCAGAGCAGGTGGTGTTTATTCTAGGAGCTAGGGAGCATGGGTGGATGAAGCGCTAGAGGCAGCAGAGGCAGCTGAGATCCCCTAACAGCAAAAGTATGCAGGAAAGAAGCTGCTATGTTCTAATAAAACCCACTTGTTTAAGTATTATTTGTGGCTGCCTTCCTGATACCAAAGCAGAGTTGACTAACCCAGACAGACTGAAAAGCCTAAAATATTTACTCTCTGTCCCTTACAGAAACAGACTGCTGACCTCTGCTCTATCAGGTATCAAAGGTATCAGGGGTATTCAAAATCTGTTCTGGAAACCTTGGGTGGCCAAATATATTTTTATATTATAAGATGCTATTTACTGGGCTGGGGTTGTGGTTCAGTGGTAGAGCACTTGCCTGGCATGTGTGAGGCACTGGGTTCAATTCTCAGCCCCACATATAAATAAGTAAAGGTCCATCAACAACTAAGAGCTGGTAAGAGTGGGCAAGGGTGGTGAAGGGACACATGTAGGAAAGCGAGAGACCCTGGTTGGGTCCCCGCTAAAAGGGAGCCCAGCCAGGCCAGTGGGGGAGCAGGGAGGAGCATAGTGCAGAGCCGGAGTGGGATAGGGCAGCAGAAAGGCCAGGCTGAGCTGAGCTGATCCCTGAGCCAGCCCAGCCTTGTGGAAGGGCAGCTGCTGGGGACAGTCCCTGTTTAGGCACATGACTAGAAAAAGGAACACTGGAGAGAGGGGATAGAAAAGGGGATAGGAGGGGACCTGGGAGGCAAGTGGCATCTGCAGACAAGAGAAGGGGGTGGGTCATGTGACAATGGGTCCCACCTGGCTGTGGCTTCTGCAGCAAAGCCGCTTCCAACAGGACAAGGTCAGGAGGGAGAGAAATCTCAGCAGCACACGGTAATGGTCCAAGATCCAGGGGTTGGCCCTGCGTGCCTCCAAAGGCAAAGGAGCTTGTGAGTGACCTCTGGGGAATGTTCCAAGGCAGCAAGTCCTCAAAGCAAGTCCTTGGCTGTCCCTTCAGCAGAGGTCTCAGCCCTCTCCCCACCTCTGGGACCTCTGCTGGGAAGCCTGGCTGTTACCTACAACCAAGGGCTCTGAAGGGCAGAGTCCTTCCTCCCCGACTTCAGAGTTCTTGAAAGCCCCCCAGCCCCTCCTCACTGGTGATCCCCCACCCTCGATGGTAAGCAGACCCCCCCCTCAAGCTCCCACACCAGCAAGTGGCCTCAAAAAAAAAAAAAACACTATTGTTCCTGCTTTGTTGAGGGGCCCTCAGTGAGATAAGACAGAAGAAATAAAAGAATAGGTACAAAGGAAACCTAAAAGAAAGGCAAGGACATATAATTTGAATTTAAAGTTCCATATATTTTCCAGACCTGGCACTTCCCAAAGCAGTCTCTCTATCTATATCATCCTGAGAATGACCAGACCACCATAAGCCCCCTCAAGATCACCAGACTGATGTCATCCCATGTCTTCCCATATGACCTCTCACCAGGTTTATTTTCTTTCTTTCTTTCTTTTCTTTTCTTTCTTTCTTTCTAATATTTTTTAGTTGTAGATGGATATAATACCTTTACTTTATTATTATTATTATTATTTTTTAATAATCGAATCCAGTGCCTCACATGTGCTAGGCAAGCACTCTACTACTGAGCTCTTCAACCCCAGCCCCCAGGTTTTCTTTAAAAGGGGAGTTGGTGATGGCCCACATTTTCCCTTGAATGTGTGTTCCTTGCTTTCCTAAATAAACCTGTGCCTCCATTGACATGGGCTGAAATTCCATCACATGTGTCAAAGACCCCATTTGTCCTGAATTGAGTTCCTCGCTCTCCAGAAACTCTGAGGGACCCTCTCCTGAAGCTATCTCTTCTCCTAGGACATAGGGAGTAAACATCTCTCTCCTCTTGGTTGAGCCTGATTTTCATCCTTTCCCCTGCTGTCACATCCAGGCTGGCTTGGGAAGGTGAGGATGCTGCCTCCTTGTGGGACCGGAGTCCCTGACCTAGCAGGGGATCAGCTGCCTGGCAGTGAAACAGAGGACCAGAGCCAGCTCCAAGGTTAGGAGTACCCTCCAGATGATACTATGACCAGCCAGTTAGGTTATCAGTGGGGACAGAAGCAGTAACTCAAAACCAGCCTCATTAAATACACTGACAAGTTATGAAGGGACGGAGACAACTTTATTTTTTAACTTAAAAAAACTACACACAAAAAAAGTGATCCAGGAATCAAAATAGAAATAGTTAAGGATGATAGGAGATGAAAAAAACAAGTTGCATAAATCAAGCTGGCCTAAATAACTTGACAGTTGTATTGAAGCTTTGGTGGTTCAAAACCTCTGGGTTGGGTCCAAGTTGGATGAAAGTAAATTCCATATCCACATCCCAGAAACCACAGCTAACTTCATGGTGACTGGCTGAGCCCTTGGAACTCTTGAGATCCTTTTGAAAATACAGGTACCCTCTTCTCATACACCCTTTGAAATGGGGTGTTGTGAGGGAGCCACCAAAATGACACAACAGGTGAGTATAAAACCATTAAAATCTTAATACACCCTGAGAAGTACTGCCAGAAGTTGAAACAAAACTCATTCATAACACTGAAGTGCAGAGATAGATGCTCCTCGACTTATGATGGGATTACATCCAGACTAAATTCATCAGAAGGTGAAAATCTCATAAACTGAAAATATATTGAATACACCCAGTCTACCAGATATCACACATAGAGTAGCAGTTGTTCCCCTTGGAAATTGTATGGTTGACTGGGAGATGTGACAAACTGTGGAACCTCATACCACTAGCCAAAGAAAAGATCAAAATTCAAATATGGTTTCTACTGAATTTGTATTTCTTTCATACCACTGCTAAATGGAATCATCATAAGTCAGGCACCATCTGTAATCAAAAAGGCATATATCAACAAAATGTATTAAAAGGGCTGGGGTGTAGCTCAGGGGTACATTGCTTGCCTTGCATGTGCAAGGCCCTGGGTTCACTCCCCAACACAGAAAAAAAAATCCTTTAGAATATATTAACCCCCCAACATACACTCAGAGCAATAAGAGATCTAAAATCAAACTGTAAATGGGCTAGAAATGTAACCAAGCATCCTTCTAAAAAGAACTCCAAATGGCAAAAGATGCTCAACTTCATTAGTAGTTAGAAAAATGCAAATTGAAATCACCAGATTCCACAAAACACCCACCAGAACATTTAATGTATGTATCTAATAAATCCAGTAAGTTCACTCCAAAGTATGAAACCCCCCAAAATGAGTGCACAATTCATCAAAAATATATACAAGAATGCTCATAATAGCATTGATTATAATAGCCCAAACTAGAGTCCTGTGTTAGCTTCCCGTGGCTGCTGGGGCTGGGATTCTGCTAACCACTTTCTGCTTTGCTACCGGACACCTGGCTAAGTTCCGCCAACAGAGGGCGCTAGAGGAAGCCTTTCAGACAAGAGGAGGAGAAGGAGGGACTGCTTGCCAGAGCTTCCAGAGCCTGAAGTGTCAGGGAGGTGACAGCTCTTCGTTCCTGCAGTTGCACTTCCAGCTTTTTTTCATGCTCAGAACCAGTGTTTATTGTGCCCCTTACAGATGCCGGCAACAGCTGTTACCGCACTCTTTCCTCTGAAGTCTGGGTTCCACCTCTGCAGGGCCCCTCCTCCAAAGTTTTAGGTTCCAGTAACTGTCACCTCATCCCCTTACTAACTCTACTTGCACTTGCTTCCTTCAGCTGCCACCTCTGTTTCCTTGGCATTTTCCTTTTGCCTTTTCAGTTCTTATAATAAACTACCTCGCCTTATTTTTTCAGGGCCCCGGTTTGGGGTGCCCTTTTAACCCATGGCCGGACATCTGGCTTCAGACTTTGCCTTCTCGCCCCCTCCGGGCGGTGGGGGTGATGGGCCAGGAGGGCCAGAGCCGGGCTGGATTGACCATCGGACCTAGCTAAGCTTCCCAGGCCCTCCCGGTGGTCCAGGAATCGGGCCAGGAGTTGGGCCAGGTTCGGAGGTGTGGGGGATTCCCTCATACCCTCCGCCTCACGAGTTCTGTGGAGGGATGGCATACTGTGGACCTCAGGTTGGAAAGGGACTGATTCCCCACGGTGGCCTGGAGACCCCTCAGCCTGAGGTTGAGGTGGGAGCTGGGATGGAGAGCAACTCTGAGGGGGCCTCCCCCGAGCCCTGCATTGCTCACCCTGCTGTTGTGAAAGTGGAGAAGGAGAAGGTGGATCAAAACCCTGAGGAGTCCCAAGATATCCAAGCTTTGCAGAAAGAACTTGAGGAATTTGCCAAGCTGCTGAAGCAGAAGAGGATCAACCTGGGATATACTCAGGCCGATGTGGGGCTTACCCTGGGGGTTCTCTTTAGGAAGGTGTTCAGCCAAACGACCATCTGCCGCTTTGAGGCTCTGCAGCTCAGTTTCCAGAACATGTGCAAGCTGCGGCCCGTGCTGCAGAAGTGGGTGGAGGAAGCAGACAAGAATGAGAACCTTCAGGAGAAATGCAAAGCGGAGACCCTACTGCAAGCCCGGAAGAGAAAGCGAACAAGTTTCGAGAACCGAGTCAGAGGCAACCTGGAGAAAATGTTCCTGCAGTGCCCCAAACCCACCCTGCAGCAGATCAGCCACATTGCTGAACAGCTAGGGCTTGAGAAGGACGTGGTCCGAGTGTGGTTCTGAAACCGGCGCCAGAAGGGCAAACGATCAAGCATTGATTATTCCCAACGAGAAGGATTTTGAGGCTGCAGCTTCTCCTTTCTCAGGGGGACCAGTATCCTTTCCTCTGGCCCCAGGGCCCCATTTTGGTACCTCAGGTTATGGAAGCCCTCACTTCACCACACTCTATTCCCCGGTTCCTTTTCCTGAGGGGGAAGCCTTTCCCTCTGTCTCTGTCACCACTCTGGGCTCTCCCATGCATTCAAACTGAGGTACCTGCCTTTCCCAGGTACGGGGGCAGAGGAAAGAGGAGCTAGGGAGAGAACCTGGAGTCTGGACCAGGGCTTTTGGGATTAAGTTCTTCATTCACTAAGGAAGGAATTGGAAGCACAAAGGGTGGGGTGAGGAGTTGGGGAACTGGTTGGAGGGAAGGTGAAGTTCAATGATGCTCTTGATTTTAATCCCCACATCACTCATACTTTGTTCTTAAATAATAAAGAAGCCTGGGACACAGTAGATAGAAAAAAAAATAAACTACTTCTGTTAAAGTAACTGGTGCAGTTTTTATGTTCCTAATTGGACCATGATGGATAGAAGAGCCAGGGTAAGATTTTGTGGATATCTGACCTGCCTCCTGACCAGAAATACATGAAATATTGCTCCCCTTTTAAACAGGGAAACTGACCATTGCAATAAAGTCTACAGAGTCCGTACAGCCTTGCTTGGCTTGTTGTCCAGGTGTCTTGGCATGGTTACATAAATAAACCAGGGTCACATGGAGTGGAGCATGGTGGGTGTGACTGGCTGCCATGCGAACAACTGGGGTCACACCAATCTTTATGAATGTTATCTGGCTGAACACTCCTCCATACACACACACTCCTATGAAGGTCCATTGGGGGAAAACAGCATCTTTTCTAAAGTTTTCACGATCCTAAGTTGTTACAGTAACTGGCTCAAGAACACCCAACTCCAGAGGCCCCTTGCCATTACAATGGCCACCATTGTATATGTGTATTTAGTAACACCATCGTAAGGGTTGATTCATTCATCAGATTATAAATTCGTACAGAGATTGCCTCAGCAAACTAACAAGAAAGTTGTGCAACTGGAAGGCAAAAAGTTTTGTAATATGCAAGGAAAATTATATACCATGAAGGATGTTGAGGGGGGAGCGGGAGAGAGGGTGGACTAGGTTTATAATAATTCACAACGATTGGTATATAATTTTCCTAACCCAGTTAAATACATCCCTCCATAGTTCCCACCATTTAAATGTCTAAATAAAGCAAAAGTACAAAAACTGCTTATTTTAAGTTCTATTTTTATTTACACTCAGAACCAGAATGTTATCTTAAGATTTCCCTAATGTAAAAATTTAATTTTATTTTTAATTTTATTTTTTTTAACAATGCCTTTATTTTTATGTGGTGCTGAGGATCGAACCCGGGTCCTGTCCGCACTAGGCAAGCACTCTATTGCTGAGCCACAATTCCAGCATGTATAAATTTTAGATTGTGCCAATCTTTTGGTTCTTCTAGAGGTACTAGATAGGGCAAAAATGAACAGAAGTTTTCTCTGAGTCCCTTCAGATGACATGTTTTATCAACCCAGTTGTATTCTGTGAGCCAGTTTTCTGATTTAAAAAGAGAGAGTGTGTGTGAGACCCATTTAGCTCCCTGAAGGCACTAAGAAATTCTATTCAGGCTGGAATTTGGTGGTCTCTATTCCTGGGCAGAGTGGCCCTTATTATCCAGACTAGCCCGCTGCTGAATGTCTCATCTTTGTGTTGTCAAATATATTCAGCAGGCACTCGTAATGAGGCAGTGGTGTAGGTGGTCATCTCCAGATTCTAAGCGGATGTCCTCTTGGGTCCTGGCTGTATGGCCTGGCTGTCATATCCCTCTCAGGAAAAACAAGTGTTAGGTGCTCCTTCTTTGCTTTAAGGATTCATGTGAATTTCTCTGAAGTGACGTGGCACTGAACTCCATGCTACTGACACAGTTAAATTAGTTGTTAGTCTTATGGGGTTAAGTCATGCCAGAAACTTGGGAGTTAAAAGTAGATCAGTCTTCATGACCGTGAAGTTAAGATAACACACCAGGAGAC